TACTGCTGACTACTACAGCTAATACAAGAATTTCTTTATAGCAGGGTTTCTAAACAGAAGTAAAACCCAATACCTTGCACTAGATAATTCTTTATTATGGGGGATTGTTCTGTGTATTGTAGGATGTTTAGCAGCATCTCCAGTCTCTAACCACTAGGTACTAGCAGCACCCCTGAAAATTCAAATACCAAAAATGTCTCCAGGGATTGCCAGATGTCCCCTGGGGAGCCCCATCACCCCAGTTGAGAACCACTGGTCTACAGGAGAAGACTGGCTTTGACAGCTAATGCTTTGGCACTATAGAAGTGTAACTCCAGCCCAGGTTTCTTGAAACAAGTGGGTGGGGTAGAGAAGAGTTAGGGTGAACTAGAGGAAAAAGGCCATTCTGTGTTATAACGGAGAGAGGGGCAAGAGAGAACTAGACTAAATGGTGCCTGGAGCAAAAGATTATTAGAAAAGGGATCTGGTGACTGGAAAGGTCTGTGAGAAGAGACAGGCACAGTGGGCAATTCTTCTAATAAAAACTGAATTTATACTGTAGTTGGTTATGGTTCAAAAAGTACTAGCCCTTATCAGTTCAAAGATGGCCAACATCTGGATTACATGGATATTTCTCATGCTTATGTAATACCTTTATTAACAGGAAGATTCACTCCTGGAAGGTAGAGATTATATATATATGTGTGTGTGTGTGTGTTATATATAATAGATTGAAAAAATGTATATATGTGAATATATATTTCAAAATATATTTTACAATATATTTCAATATATTTCATAAATATAAATAAATATATTCCATTATATAAAACATAATAAAAATTGTTCCTGTTCACAGACAATATGATCTTATATAGAGAAAATTCTAAAGACTCGATAAAAAAACTTAATAAATGATTTCAGTAAAATTGCCAGAGAATACAAAATTAACATAGAAAAAGCAGTTGCATTTCTACCTACTAACAACAAACTATCTGAAAAAGAAATAAAGAACAATAACATTTATAATATCTTCAAAAAGTAAAATAAAATGCTTAAATAATAAATTCAGCCATGAAGATCTGTACCTTGAAAATTACAAGACACTTATGAAAAAAATCGAAGACACAAATTAAGTGGAAAGATATTCATATTCATCGATTGGAAGAATTAATATTGTTAAAATGTCCATAGTACCCAGAGCCGTCTATGGATTCCATGCAATCTTTATCAAGAACATTCACTGGAAAAAGATACTCTCTTCAATAAATGGTGTTAGGAAAACTGAATAGTCATGCACAAAAGAATGAAATTGGACCCCTATTCTACACCATTTACAAAAGTTAACCTGAAATGGATTGTAATACCTGAAATTATAAAACTACCAAGGGAAAACATAGGAGAAAAACTCCTTGACATGAGGACTGGCAATGATTTTTTGGATATCACACTAGACAAGCAATAAAAGCAAAAATAAAGAAGTGGCTCTGCATCAAATTAAAAAGCTCCTACACAACAATAGAAACAATTAACAAAATGAAAAGTCAACCTACATAATGGATAAAAAATATTTGCAATCACCTATCTGATAAGGGGTTAATAAATAAATAAATATATATATACATATATATATATATATATGGAATCCATATAACTCAATAGCTAAAAACAAAAAAGAGAGGAAGGAAGGAAGGAAGGAAGGAAGGAAGGAAAGAAGGAAGGGAGAAAGAAAAAAGCAACATGACTTGAAAATGGGCAGAGGATGGGGCACTTGGGTGGCTCAATCAGTTCGGCATCCTACTTCGGCTCAGGTCATGATCTCATTGCTTGAGTTTGAGCCCCACATGGGTTCTGTGCTGACAGCTCAGAGCCTGGATCCTGCTTCAGATTCTGTGTCTCCTTCTCTCTCTGCCCCACCCCACTCTTGCTCACTCACTCTCTCTCTCTCATTCAAAAATAAACATTTAAAAAATTTTAAAGAGAAAAGAAAAGAAAACGGGCAGAGGACCTGAGTAGATATTTTTCCAAAGAAGAGGTACAAATGGCCAACAGGTACAAGAAAAGATGCTCATCACTAATCATAAGAGAAATGCAAATCAAAAGCACAATGACGTACACCTGTCAGAATAGCTAGTATCAGAAAGACAAAAAAAATAACTAGTATTGGCAAGGATGTGGGAGAAAGGGAACACTTGTGCACTGTGGGGGAAGTGTGTATTGGTGCAGCCACTGTGAAAATCAGTATGGAGTTTCCTCAGAAAATTAAAAATAAAACTATATGATCCAGCAATTCCTCTTCTGGGTATATATCCAAAGGCAATATATTCACTAAATCTGCACTCTCATGTTCACTGCAGCATTATTCACAATAGCCAAGACATGGAAATAACCTAAGTATCCATCAATAGATGAAAGATTTAAACACACTCATGCACACACATGCACATTCAAAATGAAATATTCAGCCATAAAAATAAAAAATAAGGAAATCCTGCCTCTTGGGACAACATGGATGGACCTTGAGTGTATTATGCTAAGTAAAATAAGTCAGACAGAGAAAGACAAATACTGTATATTCTTACCTAGATGTGGAATCTAAAGAAACCAAACCCATAGACATAGAGAGTAGAATGGTGGTTGCCAAAGGCTGGGGGTGGGAGGTGGGGTGTAGAATGAGCAGATTTGGTCAAAGTGTACAAACTCCCAGGTATAAAATGAGTGAAATCTAGGATTTTAAGGCACAGTATGGTGGCTATAGTTAACAATATTGTATTATACACTTGAAAGTTACTAAGACAGTAAATCTTAAGTGTTATCACCACAATAAGAAGAAAAAATGTTAATTATGTGAGGTGATAGTGGTGTTAACTTTAATGTGGTAATCATTTCACAACAATATGTCTATCAAATCATCATGTTGTACACTTTAAACTTAACATAATGTTGTATGGCAGTTATGTCTCAATAAAGCTGGAAAAATAAAGTTCATGTAAACAAAAATTTCCACATATATAATGATAAAGTCCCAATTATCCCATCCTTAACCACAAAAATATATCCTATAGTGTCAGTAAATAGAGGATTATGATGTCAGTACTTACATAATGACACTTAGACAAGTAGATTCAATTCTATGTTTGGAAATGGAAGCTAAAGGAAAAAAAGTAGCTAACGTGTTACAGGTAATAGTTAAGAAATGAAGATAACGCAGGGTTGGTCTGGCAAAGGGGGGCTGGAGATAGAGATGTGCCAGGAAGCAGAAGGGGGAAAAACTGAGGTAAACCCATATTTGATCATTCCCCGAAAACACAAACAAACCTTGAGGAGCCTTAGGATGAGATGAGTGCTTTGCCCAGGGGATGAAGGCAAGGGTCCTAAATTTGTCTTCTGAATCTGCTGGATGGTTAACTGAGAAGAGATAGATGAGAAGCCCTTGGTCCTTACCAACGTTCCCCCTGTGTTCACAGACATCTCATTAAGAGGTCGATGGAGACGGTAACTTTCAAAACATGGGACCAAACCCATAATATGAAGAATAGTTGGTTATTTTCTTCCTGTTGTAAAGATCTTAAGGGTTTGAGGTTTGGGGTGTTTTTTGTTGTTTTTGGTTATTTTTTTTAACACATAGAATACTTTTCTATCATTGAACTCAAATTATTTAACATAAAGTCTAGGACTTCTTTTGTTGTTGTTGCTGTTGTTAAATTTCTGAATCTGCATTCTAGCCAGAATTGCAAAACCACACTATAATTCTCTAAGTGATAGCAGTGAGATCAAAAGAACTTACCCTAGAATTAGCTTTAAAATAAACTATTGGGGCTTCTGGGAAAGAAAAAGAGAATGTGTGTTTACTAAACTTCTCTTCCTGAAGCCCAGTGAAATGAGTAAAATAGATTCTATATTTTCCTTAAAGGATATCTTTAATAATAAGCATCAGAGATAAAAATAGTGAAGTCCAGATTTCTCTTAAACATTTTTTTTTCTTTGTGTTTTTATGTTTGGTAAAAAAAAAGTTTTACCTGACCTCTCATTAAGTTTACTAAAAAAGAGCAATAACCATACTATCTGTTCAAATTGTTCTGCTAAAAAACCGGGGGTGGGGGGGCAGAGTTAAGCATGGTGTTTACTGAATTATTCTTACTTTAGAATTGTAATAACCATTGTTTACATTCTGATATTGAACTCACAGACAAAAAAGCTCATCCATTATAGGAAACTTCATTTTATATAATTGTAGGAAAGAATTCTTTTAATAACCCTTTCATTCTCTCTATTGTATGAGAACTGGCTGGATTGATAATATATTAACTTCGAAAAGGAAAGGATTTGGGGAGCCTGGGTGGCTCAGTTGGTGAGGCATCCAACTCTTGACTTTGGCTCAGGTCATGATCTTACAGTTCGTGAGTTCGAGCCCCATGTTGGGCTCTTTGTTGACAGCAAGGAGCCTGCTTGGAATTCTCTGTCTCCTTTTCTCTCTGCCCTTGCCCCACTCGTGCTCTCTCTATTTCTCTCTCAAAAATAAATAAACTTAAAGAAAAAAGAAAAGGAAAGGATTCAAAAACCACAAAATGGACTGGCTTGGAGAACAAGAGACAGAAGTTGGGCTCCTAGGCTTACCGCTAGTACTTAGGCCTCAGTTGTAAGATAACATATTTCTAACAATGCTCATTCTTACTTTCATTCAATGTAAAGAAAATTTACAAACAGCTATGAAAAGAAGTATTGGGCTGTTCTTCAGAGTTCCATTATGGCCATGAAATCTTAGTCTGTGCCAGCACAGGTCTGGTGCTCCCTCAAGGATTGGAAATGCTCACAAAAGAGGCAAGCCTTGGACTCAGTTCCATCAGAAGCTTCCATATGGTGGGGCGCCTGGGTGGCTCAGTCGGTTAAGCATTGGATTCATACAGGTCATGATCTCATGGTTCGTGAGTTTGAGCCCCACATCGTGCTCTGCACTGACAGCTGTAGAGCCTGGTTGGGATTCTCTGTCTCTGTCTCTGTCTCTCTCTCTGTCCCTCCCACTGTCTCTCTCTCTCTCTCTCTCCATCCCTCCATCTCTCTCTCTCTCAAAAAAAACAATAAAAAAAGAAGAAGAAGCTTCCATAAGAAATGAGGTAAAGGAGTTTCCTTGAAGGTGGGTCTCGGTTTAGAACGCTCCTGAGGATCAACAGCTGGCCTCTGAAATACATCATTCAAGTCCCAAGAATGCTCACAGGAGGGATGCTCCATCGAGTCTACGATAAGTTTCTTTGGTCCCTGTGGACAGAAATAGACCAGTCAGGCCAAACCATTTTAATCCTATATAACTCAATTAAAAAATAAAAGCAGAAACATGACATTGGGGCTTTCTCAGGACAGAGAGAGAAGACAATTATCTACTCCATTTCTGCTTACTGAGACAATCAATTAGACTTTGATATGGATCAAGGCTACACACACATGTATATACACGCATACACACTCCTCCACAGACTACACACACACACACACACACATGTATCTTCTGCTGGATCTTTTTATAATGAAAGGTAGTGATTAGGGTCATATGGCTTTGTTACTTCAGGAAGCAGTATAATGGACTGCATTTTATTCTTACAGGCCTATCTGGTCTCCGGGCATGGTCTAGATAAGTCGAAGAATATGAAGAGAAGGGCCTCAAACATTTCTGTGTATAATATAAAGGGCTCTTAATTGTAGACAGGAAAAATTCATTGCAAGATATATTGGCAATGTTAAATTAACCTTTTGTTTTCATTTGTACAACAAAATAAATTAACAGTAATATTTCGTGTCAGAAAAATTCTTTTCTAAAGAGGTGCTTTGTTCATTAAGCCCTCATGGCCAGGGAAAAGTTTATTGTATGCTAAATCAAAAGAGCAGGATTTGCTTTCGACCTGTTTTTAATTGACAAAACCACAAAGATAAACTCTTCTCACACATAAGTAGATTTTTCAAAATCAGACATTAGTAGTGTCCATGCTTATTGCCCTATCTGTTGAATAGATCTAATGTCAGGTTAGGATAGTGGCCATAAATCAAAATGTCACCTGCCTTAAGTATCCATTTCTAGTTCAGTTCCTTTGAAAGGAGTCCTTGAGCTTATAATTCTTAAAACTCTTAAAAGCATGGCTAGAGTGGGAGCATCAATTATGAAGGTAGTAGTTACAGACAATTACAAGATTTAGAAAAAGGAGAAAAACTTTTCAAAGCTAAGTCCAGAAGGACCTTAATAACACTGGACCCACAAATCTAAATTAAAACTGTCTTTGAGTAGCTTGGTTGACATTTCTGCATGCCCTTAACACCTTGTATGTGATAGCACCTTACAAACTACAGCATGCTCCATGCTACCTTAATATCCTCCGTCACGCAGACATCCTCTACCAGTGCAAGAGATCAATAATGACAATATAAAATTTCTAGGAGAGGTCTAAGTATTTGCAGTATTGTGGCTACTGAGAATAAAAGTTCAGATAGAATAGGCCTGGGGATAGTCTGCAAAATAGACCACTTTATCTCAATTGTACTATTTACTTCTTAGCCTCTTTCTGACTTTTTTTTTCCCATCTGCATGTGTTCTGGAAGAAAGCCAAATGGAGACATGCCTTCTAGCTTTCAAAGCAACAATATAGAAGTAGTCAAAGAACTATTACCTTCTGTGCTGCTGACTCCCTCCATGGGTTATAGCCAAAGCATACATAGCCAGACGTGGGCATTGATCAGTTGCCTCCAGATTTCCAGTGCTCAGAGGTTTGTTCTCAGCATAGGAAGTCCAGCTGTAAAGAGTGGAAATATTGACTATCCGAATTTTCTTAGCCACGGTTGTAATAAAATTAAGATAGGTTTGTGTCACAACCATACACTGAACTTGTCTGATCTTGTTTTGTCACTCTAGCACCATGTTGGAATTCATCAAAATTCAAATCACTTATTAACGAAGCATGAATAGTAATACTAACTTGAAATGTTGAATTAATTACTCAGGGTGATTTAGATTCTGTAAACATAGCTATCAAAAAGAAAAACAACATTCTTGGCCCTCAAGACTAAGAGATTCAGATAAAAATGTTTTCCTAATGAGCGGTATGCTCTGGTATAGTATTATTACAGGAAAGACCAAAATTCCAATCATCCTTGCTAAATTGCATGTTTGCTAACTTCAGCTATTTTGAGTTTTTTTTTTTTTAAAGTTAAACCATTTCTGAGTTACAGAAGAAGTACGCACAGTTCCCTTATGCCTGGAAACGAAATGTTATCTATTCATTCCATCTTCTCATTTAAAAATTCTTTAGAAATTAGGTGAGTCTGAGGATTCATGAAACGAACTTTAAAATTACGTTCAATGTAACTTATTGCACTCTTGGGGGTGATTATGATAATAATAGCTATAATTTTTGAGTGCTGGCTTTTATTTACTGTATTTATAATTCTCACAAAAAAACCACATCAGAGTCATATTATCTAATGTGTTCATTTGCCCAAGACCACACAGAGACAGAAGAACTAAGAATCAAACCATATCTAACACGGGGCGCCTGGGTGGCTTAGTCGGTTAAGCGTCCGACTTTCGCTTAGGTCATGATCTCGCGGTTCATGGGTTTGAGCCCCATGTCGGGCTCTGTGCTGACTGCCAGCTCTCAGCCTGCAGCCTGTTTCAGGGTCTGTGACTCCCTCTCTCTCTGACCCTCCCCTGCTCACGCTGTCTTTCTCTCTGTCTCTGTCTCTCTCTCTCTCCTAGAAATAAATAAAACATGAAAATTTAAAAAAAAAAAAAAAACCATGTCTAACACAACAGTCTAAGTTCTGTGCCTGTATCAATGACATTTAGATAAATATTTTTGTAGAACCACTGTATTTTATGCCATAGCATCGGCATCATTCAAGCATTGTGAGAACAATGAGATTCTAAACTACCAAGGCCTGAAATTTTCTAGTGAAGCAATTCTTATAAGATATCCATTTAGGGGCTCCCGGGTGGCTTAGTCGGTTAAGCGTCCGACTTTCGCTCAGGTCATGATCTCGCGGTTCGTGGGTTCGAGCCCCGCGTCGGGCTCTGTGCTGACTGCCAGCTCAGAGCCTGGAGCCTGTTTCAGCCTGTGACTCCCTCTCTCTCTGACCCTCCCCTGCTCACGCTGTCTCTCTCTCTCTCTCCTAGAAATAAATAAAACATTAAAAAAAAAAGATATCCATTTAGTAGGAAAGGGTACCAATTGGATAGGGGTGGGGGGTGGAATTCTGCTTTAAAAAAAGTTCCATCAGCCAGGATCTCCAAATTCAATAGAAGAGGTGTTTAATCCTACAGAGGCGGTTTATCTCTTCAACTGAGTTCTAGAATCTCCCTTCTCAAAGTGGGGTCCTCAGACCAGCATATTGGATCCTTGTTAGAAGTGCAAAATCTCAGGCCCTACCCCTAATGGCTGAATTGGAATTTGCATTTTGACAAGATCTGGCGTTTCCTATGCTCACTAAAGTTTGAAATGTTTTGCTAGATGATGCATTATCTTATCCGCCACCTCCTTAGATCCCTCAAGCATCCCCTTTCTTACCTGTGCTTTCAATTTCTCTCTGCTGTTTTTGGTTTTGTATTGTTTACCCTCACGTAGAAGTACTCCTTTAAAGTCCTCTGTTGTCTCCACACACCCCACATCATTTCTCTTTTCTCAATCAGGTGCCTTGAAGGAGCTGTCTGTACTCCCTGAATCTACATTTTTGCTTCTTGTGCATGTCTCAACCTGCTGCAGTATAATCACACACCAAACATCATCTGGACCTCTACTGTATGCCAAACACTGTACCAGACTCTGAGAATAAACTGGTTGTGCAAGAGACACAGCTTTTGTCTTCAAATGACTGTTTGTGAAATTGCTTTGACATAGAAACCAACTGACTCTCTAAATTACCAATTTTTTTCCTTCATTATCAGGTAAGAGGATTCAGCTGTCTTCCGTAAGTCAGCAATTAAAGAGATTTTGCAAAAGTGTAAAATACTGCTACTCTCCTTCCTACCTTTTTAAAGTAAATAGTTATTTAAGTGTATTTATTTTGAGAGAGAAAGTGGGGGAAGGGGGGAGAGAGAGAGAGAGAGAGAGAGAGAGAGAGAGAGAATCCCAAGCAGTCTCCATGCCACCAGTGCAAAACTGGACATGGGGCTCAAACCCATGAACCCTGAAATCATGACCTGAGCCGAGGTCAGATGCTTAACCAAGAAAGCCACCCAGGTGCCCCCAAAATAGTTATTTTTATAAATTATTTTTATGTTAATATTATAGGGTTATTTTTAATTTTAAAGTGAATAAATATTCTGAAAGTGTGTTTTAATAGCTAATGTTTATAGGTCAACAGCTATCATCCCTATAAAAATCTCTCTCTTTCTGGGCTCCTCAGTGATTTTTAAGAACATAAAGAGGCTCCTGACACTGAAAAGTTTAAGAACTAGACCCCATTAGAAAACCAGCTTAGTTGCTCAACAAATCACTAAACTATGCAAGTATAGTTTATACAAGTAATATTGGAGGAATATAAATAAATCGGCCTCAGCATTTTCTACCCTATGTTTTATTAAGTTAGCTAAAGACATCACTTTCTCTAGGCATTTCACACACAGTAAGGAAATGATAGCTGGCTACTAGCCCTGAAAAACTAAAAGCCGTCACCGGAATATTTTTAGCAACTGAGATACGTGGTCCTATCTCCTGAAAATGGAAAACAACAAGGTAAAAACAAAAACAGTAAAGTGAATGGTAGGCTTTAAACATTCCTTCTGTCTTTATGTTGCCCACAAGCAACATTTTCTAAAGTTCTTAAAATAAAATCAGTTAAATATAATTATGCTCTTATCTTGAATCCTTCATATGTACTTGATTATCAAGGCTACCGGACTATGGCTATAAGAGCAATTACCTTTTCATTAAAATGAAGAAATATTTCGGAATTTGTATTTTGTTTATAAAATAAATCAATTTCGCCTAAGAATGCATCTTTTAAATTATACCCTGACCGTGAAATATCATGCTTTGGTTTCCATGGTAAAAAATATGAACAATGTCACATCTCCATTAACTGTGTACACCATTATCAAATGCACATAGTTCTTTAGTGGTGATGAAGGACGGGAGGAGCTTCTGGTTCCAAAGACTTTGTCTTCCAGGCATAATAAAGAAAAAATAACTTTTTACTACTGCTTGGCCCTGAAGGAAAATACAAATATATTTTCATCTTCCACTATATAACTCTCCGTAGGCAATGCAACCTTCGGCAGCCAGGTTTTAGGACATTTTAAAATATGGTCTAATTTACAACTTTTCCATATGTTTCAAGTCTTCGACATTTACAATACAAATACGGCCTTAAGCAGTTTGTTTTCATTTTTTCTCCCAGAACATGTGCAGGACAGAGTTTATTCTATAGCTCTAAAAGGATACACTATTGAACATAAGTGTTATTTAATTCACCAATAGAAAGTTTTCTTTCAGTTGGCTTTTGAGTGGCAATTACTGTTGACTTTAAATCAAAAGTAAAAATATGCTCATTCCGACTGTAAAATTACATCCGGGTCTAGGTTAAGAGGGACCAGAGAAGTGCCACCTATGAGAGTACAGGGTCTTGCTTTCCATTCTTATTACCACCACTCTTATTAGATATATCATGGCTAGAATATTAGAGAGATGGTGAGGGGCAGTGTCAGCCTTAAATACATCTTTGTCAAGCAGACACAGTTATTCCACATTTGTTAATATCTCCCAATTATGTTGCCTAGAGTATAAAAAATTATATGCATAAAGATATTCTAAGTGGTATTAGTTGTAATAGCCCAAATTATAACCCACTTAAAAGTTCAAGGCAGGGGTCAGCCAAGTTTTTCTGTAAATTGCCAGAAAGGAATTATTTTAGGCTTTGCAAGCCATATAGTCTCTCTTAAAACTTCTCATACGTGCTGTTTGTAGTACAAAAATAACCATAGACAATATGTAAATAAATGGGCATGGCTGTATTCCAATAAAACTATTTACAAATGCAGAGCCAAGTTTGCCAACTTGGTATAGGTAAGTAGTCAATAAACAGATACAGATAGCCAATGTATCCAATAAATGGTACATTATGTAGTCATTAAAAATTAGTAATGAATATAATAAAAAAACATGAGGAAATATTAATAAGGCAAGATATGAAAGTGTATGAATGGGTAGGATCATGGCTGTTAATAACACATGAAGCATTAATAAAAAGTGACAAATTACTAACTGTACTTATAATGTACTTATAAGGGCAGCAGAGCAATAAATGGATGACTTTGTAAAAAAATAAAACTAAAAGAGTAAAAAATAAATACCAACTATGTTTACATGTTGATAAAGGACACATTTTGAATGACACATTTGTTTCATTCACATTATTTGGGATTTATTCTTGACCACATGGATTTTTATTCTAAACAATTCAATTTATACTCATAGCTGTCTTATAGATTAGAAAGACTTTATTATCAATTTCTAAGCCATTTAAATAATTGATTTTGCAAAATAGCTTTTAGTATAGGTTATGTACATTTAATGCCCTAAACCAGGGATTTCCAACCACTCCAACAGTTAGACAATAAGGTAAAGCTCATAATATATGGGCTTTATTGTCTATGTAACTTCTCAAATATTATCTAGGTGTGGACTATGGACATGTGATACTGGGGATTCTCACCTACCAAGTAGGTGAAAGGAACAGACAGGTTCAGGACCGCTATCCTAAACAAAGAAATCAAGAGAAAGATTTAGAATAACTTTCATTCAAAAGCAAAACGAGTAAAAATATGCAGGAAACTAAGGCATGGGGATTGGGCCAATCAGCTAGCAGCACCGGCACTTACACAATAAATGTGCTTCATGACACTGGATCTTCTACATCACAATAGTTAATGCAGGCCGTATTTTGAAATCAAAAGAAGTGACTGAACTTACTTGTGGCCGTCTGAAAACTAACACTTGGATTTTAGTATTAAGTCTGTTGAAAGCACAAGGAACCTCATTTTAAGATCTTACTAGAGAATCTTAATAAAGACATTAACTATTAAACTTTGTATGTGTACGAATCGTTTTAAATTAGTTCTATAAACCTTCTACAATGACTACATAGTTTTCAAAGTGGTTTTTACTTTAATTTCAGCCAAGGATTTAAATAATCCACAGAGAATTTAGACAGAAGTTATTTGCCTATTGAAGGTATGAATGTGTGACTATGTGTGCATATGTCTACACACACACACACATATACATGCACATATATATCTATATATTTGTTAGTTCCCAGATAATCCATATATATAAAAATATATACATAGGTACAAATGTGTATATGTATATATATATATGCTTATATATATATAAACACTTTAAAGTACTGAAATAGAGCATATATATATATATATATATACACACATATGTAAGCTTCCTCTAAAAGAAATGAATTTCTATAAATAGAAAAAACATTTTGAAGTGATGAAAATAATAATTTTTGCAGTTTTATTTTCTAAGCTCCAATATAGGAATAAGCCTATAGATGCTACTTTGAAAGATATTATAGTACACAGACAATAGCTGAAAATCTGTTAAACTACACTGTTTTCAAGATGAAACAAGCAGGTTATAGGTTATACAGAACCCAATACAAAGCTTACCTAATAAAAACTGTATACAAATCTAAGATGGAATGAGCTAAATTTAAATCAGGCTTAAATAATTTTTATACACTATTAAAGATGGCTTTCACTTAAGACATGTTAAAAGGGATTCACAACAGAATACAGATAACCTCTGTTTTAATCACAAACAAACATGGAAAATATTGGAGGTTAAATATCATGGATATCATAAACTCTATTTCAATAGTTTAAAGTAAACCACTACACCCACTGAAAAGGTGATGCTTAGTCAATCCCCAAAACTCCAAGCAAAAACATTTAAGGTTTCAGTTCTATTCAGTTTCATTTAGCAGTCATTAATAGTAATTTCCAGAAATGACCCATGACCTGACCACCCTTAGTGCCTATCTCTCTGCAAGTTTCTATACAAAATTAACCATCAATTTCTTCTCCAAGTGCTAAATTTTAAGAAAGTGACCAAAGTATTGTAGTTAATACAGTAGCACTAAAATTCTAGGCATAAACCTAAGAAAAGAGAAAATTTTCAAATTGTTTCACAAGGGACTAACGTCCTAATGTATGTGCAAAAGAATGCCAGTCCTAAAATGTTGCTCCATAAAATGTCTTGAAAATAACATTCATAATACGCAGCTTATTTTTAAAAAAGCTGAGGTGTTCTCCAGTTGCTCCCACCCATATAACTGTAATTAAAAAAAAAAAAAAAAAACTTAACCTCATGTTTTCAACAGATACTTGACTTCAAAACCTTTCTTGCCTATTAACTGTCTGAAAAATTAGTACTCCTCACAGCAAACTTTCAGAAATTGTGTAAAATTTTGGTAATAAATTATGTATTACGAGAAGTTCAGCAAGGCAACAGGCAGAAAACTGTTTAGGAATACTTAAAATTCTAAGATAATATACAAGATAGAAGTGAGTACAAAATGCAACTGATGAAAAAAAAAAGAAAAGAAAAGAAAAGAAAAGAAAGGACGGTTGTTATTGGCCGGACAGAAGCGCCATCTGCAAACACTCTCAGTTGTTTCAGATGATTTCTTCATCCTTATTGCCATCACTTCATTCAGGCCCTTATCATCACAGAAGGAATTTAAGATTTTCCAAAGTGCTCTCTTCATTACAGTCTATTTTTTCTAATCCAGTGTTTCCCAAACTAATATGCATCTGAATTACCCAGAGATCTTGTTGAAAATGTTAAGTTCTGATTTGGTAGGTCTAGGCTGGGGTCTGAAATTCTCCTTTTTTAACAAATTCTTTTTTTTTTTTTTTAACTGATATAACCACACTTTGGATAACATAGATCTAATCCATTCTGTAAGCCATTGCCCCATTATTCTTCCTAAAATACTACTGATCTCCTGTCACTGCCTCAGGAATCTAGGTGAACTCTGTGAATCATGCATACACATTTGCACTCAGTTATTGGTCCAGAACTTCATTCCAGACCAATGTGATCTTTCTCCTAACCACTATGCTCATTCCAACACAACTCTGTATTTTTTTTCCTGAGGTAAAATATATATACTGTGAAGTAGAGATTTTGAAGCAACAGTTCAATGAGCTTCGATAACTGCATACTCCTGTGTAACCAAGGCTCTCTCCCAAAGATATGGGACATTGCCTTCACACCAACCCTGTGTTTTGACACAGGTTTATAAATACTCTTCCTCCTTTCCTCTGCCTTTCACCTATCCTTGAAGACTTAGCTGAAGCCCTTCCTTCTTCAAAACGTACATCAAATTGACACACATATCTCTACTTCTTTTTAAGACCACACCATCACCATCTGTCACTGAACTAAGGCAGTGTTCTTATCACAAACCTCTCTACCTCCATTCTTACCTCCTCCCCAATATATTAACCAGAGGAGTCAGAGTGATCTTCAGAAATTATAAATCAAATCAAGTCACTCTCTTGCTTAAAATCTTCCATGGCTTACCATGACATTTGCAATAAATCCAAATGTCTTTTTCTGTTGTCCTGTATCACTAAGCCCCTCCTTCTCTATGCTCAGCTCTTGCTACTTTCCCCATTACTTTCTACGCTCTGGTCATATGAACCTTCTTTCTGGCCCTACAACACAGTGAGCTTTTCCTACCTCAGGGACTCTGCATTAATTATTCCCTCTACGCTTCCCTACCACCTTTCTCTGACTGGCTATTTTTCTGCTGTTCAGATCTCAACTTCAAAGCTCCCTCCTCATGGGAGCCTTCCCTGACTACAAAATCTAAAGTATTCACTCAGTCATTTTCTAACACAAATTCGACTTTGTGTGCGTAGTATCTATCACTGATATGTTTCTTATTAATGTGTTTGTTATTTGTCTCTTCTCACAAGAACATAAGCCCCGTGGCTGTGGAACCTGTGAACAGTGATCACTGCTGTAACTTCTGCACCTAGAACAGCATCCAGCTGATTCTAAGCAGATGTGCAACAAATGCTTGTTAAAAGAATGTGTCAAAACCTATGATCTAACATATATTCATACTACGCAGATGGAAATTGTGTCAGTGTCCCAGCACAGAATCTCCCACGAAACTGACAAGAGAATGAGAAAGCTATTGCCAGTCCTCAAACAAGGTGTCTTTCACAAGAAAGAAAGGGAAGAAAACAACTGCAGCTTTAATGTGGGGCAAAAATAAAACGCAGATTAAGTCAAAGTTTAATTCACATAAAGTTTAATCCATCAAGTTAATGAAAATATCAAAATTTTTGAGTTAGTGTATGGCAGCAGAAGTTTTAATTTTTGTTGCAAATAATACAGTATTTGGTGTTTCCATTACTGACAAGCTATGCTGCGGATAGAGCAATTGCATTGAATCTCAATTCATCAGGGTCACGTTCCATAAACTTCTTGCAAACTTCTATGGCGTCCTATAGGGACAAAAATGGGTAATTTTTCAGTTTATAAACATGTGTTTTATTACTAAATGATAAGTGTTTCATATTTTCCTAATTCATACTCATTTTATATTGCAGCCTTCTTTTTCCCCAATGCAAAATAACTTAAAGCACACCAGAAGAGTGAATGGTTGGTGGCCTACTTCACTTAGTAGAAAACTATAAGATATAGTAAGTGTTCTTTCTTAAAATACTTTAAAGAAACTCTTAACTTGAAAATTACAGATTTTGTTGATTCTTAGCCACCCAATTTGTTCACAAATGTAAAAATCTCTAAATCAGGATCAAGACACAAATGATGGTACCATTGATTCAGTGAAATATGGGATAGGATATGCACCTCTTTCAATACTGTTTTCTTTTTCAAATTTGATACCTGTTCACCCAAAGAGATCTGAAAACCTCTTCGTCTGCATAGATTTTTTAACCCTAATTCAGAGTTTTCTTTTCAGATTTTCTCAAAAAAGCAAAGACATGGAAGTATCCAAAGACAGAGAAAATGTTATACAAGTGATCTTTAGACATATTCTAAGGATAGCAAGAACATTAATAACACTTAACACGGGCTGACAAGTTTGGTTGTTACCTCTAGTAAAGTTTCATCACTAGTTTCCCCATGGTTAATTGGAAATGGCTTCCGTCCATCTGTGGAAAACGAACAAACAGTTGAACATTTAGCTGCTTATACAGGACAATGTACTTCCAACTTTCATTTTCCTTTTCCCATAGTGAGGCAAAGTCAGAAGATATTGAAAATAATATATCCTAAAAAAACCAATTTCAAATTGTGCACTCAATATTTTTTTACATTAAATGTTATTAGAACCTTGTTTCTATGTTTGAAAGCCTGAATCAGCTCCACAAACAGAAGTTTTAGAAACAAACATGGCTTTAATTTCCTTAAAAAAGGCCAAACTAGCAGGTCAGGTTTTAAAAAGTTAAAATCCTAGTTTCTCCTCTCATAAATATGAAAAAATGTACTGCTTCACCTTAAAAGCTGAATCAGAAGGCCCCTAAGACGGACACGCTTATACCAATGAAAGGGAGCCACCACAAGATTTGTGTATCACCACTAATTATGCGCTCCAAGGGAGGAGTACAGAGCAATAATCTAAACAACCGAGGGTCATTTCACTGACCACCAAAATTAATTAAAGACAAATATAAACATCTTGACCAAACTACTCCTTTATGAATGCTATGAAACAAGGAAAAAGTCCAGTATTGTATAAACTCATCCTAACCAAAGTTAACTGATACTCTCTTCAAATCTAAATCTCAGATGTCTTATAAGTGGCACTTCAAGTTCAATCCATTAAACGCAATCCATTTTATAATTCCATGGCTTCTAAACATAATAAAAGATGTTTGAATCTATATGCATATATAGCGATAGAGTTGGACTGATAGGAACCACTTTGGAAGAAAATATGAGGGAAGATTACCTAAACAAACCAAAAGGCAAAATGAGACAAATATTAAATCTGGAGAAATAAAAGCTTTTTTTAAAAAAAGTACATTAATTATGGCTCAGCTGAGAATGTTTCTGTGGTCACAATAATACAAACAACTACAACAGAACTAGAAGAAGAGGAGAAAGGAAATAATCTATTTTGTGATTGGGAGGGGGGTTAAAGAACAAGGGTGACACAGGAAAAATAAATTCTCTTCCATGTGGGGAGTGAAGACATTATACTTAGGCCACTTCCACCTCCAGCCAGGCTGGAGTGACTGGTGCCGGACGAGATCTCCCACTAGAAACAACTAAAAAATTGGATGAAATAGTTGAAACAATTGTTTTTAGACATTAGAAAATAGGCAGTTTGTATGAAAGCCCGAGAGTAATAGTAGCTTCCCGCCAGGTCCATAATGGGAAATCCAAGCAGAGCACAATAGTCTTAATGAGGGAAATGAGCAGAAGGAGAGCAGAGTTCCGGAATCTACAGTATCAGAGGGAAGGTAGCTCCCCACTTTGCAGAGGTATTGCTCTTTGTATGGGCCGGGCCAGGATTGGCATGCTAGGTGGGGGGCAGGGAGCAGCAGGGATCTGAGTTTTAGGCTTGGGGTGGCCAAGAGCTTGTTTATGTACAAGAGGAATGGGTAAATCAAGAAATATACAAACAGTAATGGAGAACACTAGAATAAACTCTGTGGTATTAGATTAGAAGTGTTTGCGTAAATGAATGCTTTTAAATATATAAACAGATATAATTGTGGGTACGTCTATACTCACATGTACATATACATATGAGAGTGTATTTTTATAATACATACAAATATTTCTTAGCTTTGTCTGCTGAGAGGGCGTAGTAGCAATGAGCACACCTACTGCCCAGATATTGGTTCTAAATACCATTTTCAGCTAAAAGGAACCAGGGCTCTATGGAAAAGCACCTGAAGAGAGGGCTGGGGCACAGAAAATAAAAGATGAGCCTAGAACATCTTATTCTATCTGATAGTTAGAAAGTGCTTAAAGAAGGACAGGAACACATCAAAAGCACAAAAGGGCCAGCTTGAAGGGGTTCCCTTCAAGGCCAAGTTTGGGAAAATTTGAATATGAAAATAAATGATGATAATGGACTATAACCTCCTGAGTAAAATATGAATCCAGGAGTCCATTGTGACATTGAATGAAGGAAGGAAGGAAAAAAGAAAGCTTCTAATGTTGGAGGGAATTTTTTTAAAATCACCATTTGGCAACCATCATAGTGAAAATTCACTTAACAATCATCAATGGATGCTAAATCTGATAAAGGCTTAATGAGCAACTGTACATTTTACATAGGCTTGAAGTACCTCCTGAATATTTATTCATCACTTCCTAACTAGTAAGTATAACATATTAACATATTAATGTTTTACATACTTGTTAACATTATAATGGAGAAATCAGGCAGGTACTATCTAAACCAAATGAAAAAAGGTTATCATCACCGATAATGGGACGCATCAACATCATGAGCCTCCTAAAATGATGCTCCACAGCACCACTTCTGTGGTGTATGTGCTAAAAATGTACAAATTATGAGGACATTATCAGACAACGCAAATTGAAAAACTCAAAGTAACTGCCGTATATGCTTAAAAATTAATGTGAAAGACATGAGAGGCAAGAATAGATTGAGGAACCATTCTGGATTAAAGGAGACAAACAAGACAACTAAACATAACACACAACCTTGGACTGAATTCTGGACCTACAGAGGATGCTGTAAAAATCAGAAAAATTTGAGTAGGATCTGTGAATTCAATGATAAGACGAATCAGTCTTAATTTCCTGATTTTGATAGTTACACTGTAGTTGTGTAAAAGAGCATGCACCTGTTTTGAAGAAATACATAAATATTAGAGAATAATAGGGCACCATGTCTGCAACTTATTTTCAAATGGTTCAGACATACTAACTCAATCTGGGGAATCTAAGTAAAGACTTTATGGGAACTCTATACAATTTCTATAATTTTTATAAAAAATTAAAATGATTTCAAAATTAAAATGTTTTAAATGATTCAACCAACTAGTATTCTTCTTACTCTGGGTAGACAATCATTTTTTGGTTAACAGTTTTATAGTTTGCTGGTTCAATCAGTTCTAAATCCACTTTCAAACTCCATTGTTATAATGTATCCACAAAGAGTAATTACATCTATTTAAAAATATGTACTTCTCCCCCGGCCTACATATGCCAGGAACGACATGAAGTCCTACTGAAAAGGAAGAGGTGTTAAGAAAAAGATGAATAACTCAGTTCCTTTCATCAGGTAAACTTACAATTTAGTATAGAATGAATATATCAAAGATGACCACTATCTTTTGTTGAATAATTGTCCTGTAGAAATTAACTTGCACCATGTCTACATTCTGATAGCCTTATGTTTAGTTAATTTTTAAATTTTTTAGTGTTTGTTTTGTGTGTGTGTGTGTATGTGTGTGTGTGTGTGTGTGAGAGAGAGAGAGAGAGAGAGGAAGAGGCAGAGAGAGGGAGAAACAGAATTTGAAGAAGGCTCCAGGCTCTAAGCTGTCAGTATAAAGCCCAACGTGGGGCTCAAATTCGTGAACCATGAGGTCATGACCTGAGTCAAAAGTCAGACACTTAACCAACTGAGCCACCCACCCAGGAGCCGCTGGTAGCCTTACTTTTAAAAATAAGATTACCTCAAAATGATTTTTTTCCTCAAAAACCGTATGCTGGTCTCTTAATCACTGTTTTCTATTCGCTAACTCCATAGTCTTCTCCCTCAACATTCCTTTTACGTTTATTAGAATTTGCAACAGGTTTACTGCCAGTTTCCCTAGAAGTGAATCAGCAACTCCCCATTTTCATTTGTTTTTTACTTATCCCTGTTCTGTTTGACATCTAAAAGATTATTGTTATTCTTTAGAATTCTGAAAATCTTTAAACAAATTTAAAGAATGTAATCCCCAGAGGGCTGTAATTTTCTATCAGCTATTATCATTCTTCTTGCTAAAGAACACCTAACCAAACAAGTTCTGTCTTTCTTTTCTGATGTCCTTCCTGTTCTGGTGTTCAAACCAATTTTAAAACCCTTTTGTGACTATCTTGGGGTGCTACAGAAGAAAACCATTCTTCACGTGTAGCTTACCCTTTGATACATATCTTTCCTTCTAACTGTCCTTTTTAGCCTTTGAGCTCATAGACCTACCTAACCAAATTAAGGTTTTTAGTCAACTCCTTCCTGTTGAGATGATCAGAGATTTCTTTTCCCTAAATATCTCTTAGATGTTATTGTTTGGTCTCCTGATAAGTCTCTCATGAGGAAAGTCATCGTCACTTTCATGGTTTCTGGTTATGGCTCACAGTTATCATTTCTCTGGCCTTTCCTAAGTCTACTTTCTTGAAGTCAACAAAATGTGGCTTAAGTCATAGCACTTGCTTCACTTCCATGTCCACTAGCTACTTTTTAGGATTCAAAGTTCAGAGTAGAAACTCAGCTTCCAGCAGTCAGACATGTGATCCCCAATCACTATTACATCTTATCTCTACACAGACCTGGTAGACTGAGTTAGCAAACTAACTTCCACCCTGCCCTGCAGGTCTGTCATAAACTCCCATGACAATGACTTCAGTTCAGTGTGATTCTAACTCAAAACACTCTACTACTATTGTAAACAACCCTCGTAGGTATAGGTATCTATACAATTGTGTTCTTTTCTTTCCTCACCCCTTTAATAGAGTCATTTCTTTTTAACTGAGTGTATTATTCTATACTATATAGTATATTCCAAACATAAAATCTACCTAAATTTTATGGACCACATTTATAGTCACAGGAGTTCTTTCAGAACTCTTCTGCCTTTAAATAAGTTAAGGGAAATGAAAGTGGCAAGTTAATATACAGATGGCAAATGAAAAGAAAGAGAACTAAAAATTATGGTGTCTAAAAATTGAAAAGACTTCTCTTTTTTATTTGGCCTTTTTTTAAACCCAAGAAGGTCTCATGTTGAAGGACAAGAAGGACTCATAATAAGTACTATATACCAACTATTAAAGAATCATAAGAGGTGTGTTATGTTTGAATGGGATCAATTAACACTTTGAGGATCTCCTCCAAAACTCCCCAAACAGGCCAACTACAGGTAATTTCTAGAAAAGAAGTGCAGGTATAGGCCAAAATGCCAAATAATTAATCATGGCTACTTTGACATATGTCTTAAGGAATGGCTGCCAGAAAACACAAACTCCTATAAAGTTAAAAAATCAGAGGCAGCACAAAGAGCTAGTACAAAAGCCTGAAAACTAGTAATATCCATTACTGAATACAAAAATTAGTCATTATGAATATTACATTGTATTCTAAAAGTTGTTTCCAGATCAAGATGGTTCATCCAGATGTTGATGATAACTAACTTAGTAATTTAGTTAAGAATGCTGACGTGATTTACAGGAGTTTTCTATGATTTCCACTTCCCTGCTTTGCTTGAGATGCAAAGGTGGTAGGCACACTTTCTTGAATTAGAAGTTGCGTAAACATCATAAAAATTATTTTTTTCTAATAAAAAATCTTAAATGGAAAAATGTCACTATGCCAACTCAAGTAAACACAATAAGTGTCAACAGTCCTGTTAATCATACTTTCCCATTTATCATTTCCCTCCCCAGAATAAATTTAAATAGTTCTTACCTAATTCATAGAGATGCCCATCTACATGAACTAATGCAATAAAATGAAGATCTACTTTTTCATCTATACTTGGCGCCTGAAAGAGGAGGGGGAAATATATATTATACATGTTAGTAGTCAATCAAGTACAAGTAAACACATACAAATATGAAATGGCATGAGAGCACATTCATCCAACATAATTCAAGGCTTATTAATCTTTGATCTGGTGAACAAAGAATGAACAGGACCACATTTATGACAATGTCTTCATCCATCAACCAGGAAAAACCTCAACTAAAGCACATCTTTCTTAAGCTCAATGGATCTTAAAAACCTTTCATATTGTCCAACCCTGGCAGGCCCCATACAGAGTACAGTGCCTGGTACCTAGTCAATGCCCGATGCATTCCTGCTAAAAGACATGAGTACATGAACCGATTTGTCTAATTTTTGAAATTTGAAATAAAGTTTTTTAAAAAATTAACAATAGCATAAAGTTAAAAGAAACTTTTCAAGCAAAATTTCAAGACATCAAGAAAGTGAATTCTTTCCTTAATGATTTGAACTTGATAATCTCCGTGTTTGAACAATGTAATATAAATAGTCTTAGAATTAAATAACTTTCATTATTCATCACAGATTCAAAAAGTTTAAAAATGAATAAATGCAGGAAAATAGCCCAAAAGAGTAAAGGGGGAAAAATAGAAAAGCAAATTAAAGTACAATGAACTATAACCTATGATTTTCTCTGGTTTTCTTCGTAAAACATTTGAAATTAAAATTACATCAATTTGTTTTTTGTTTTGTTTTTCTGTGTGTGTTTTTTTTAGTTTACTAAATTCAATTTGCATTAGGCAATATCTGCTACATTTCTTAGAAATTTAAATAAATTACCCAAGGTCAATACATGATTAGCTGGCACTATGATACTGAGTAAGCTATACAGTTAGCAGTACTATGTATTAGCTATATATCAAATCTAAATGGTTTGAAATAAAATATAATCACTGTTAAATGCAAGTACAAATTTTAGAGGCAAACATTTTAAAAAGGCATAAATCAAATCACATCTCATATTAACATGCTATAAGTAACACAACAGTATCTGAACTCCAAAATTTTTTTTCACCTTCAGATAATTTTATAATTTTAAGTAGTTGTAATAAGAAGTTTTCAGATGCAAAAATTTAAAGCTATAGAATAAACGTTATTTTGGATTTACTGAATGCTTTTTCTTTTTTTTTTTTTTAAATTTTTTTAATGTTTTATTTATTTCTAGGAGAGAGAGAGAGACAGCGTGAGCAGGGGAGGGTCAGAGAGAGAGGGAGTCACAGACTGAAACAGGCTCCAGGCTCCGAGCTGGCAGTCAGCACAGGGCCCGACGCGGGGCTCGAACCCACGAACCGCGAGATCATGACCTAAGCTAAAGTCGGACGCTTAACCGACTAAGCCACCCAGGCGCCCCTGGATTTACTGAATGCTTCTAAAACACTTATAGATAGAGTGACTCATCTAAATTCACATTATTCTTCAGAGATTATTTCCCTCCAATTATGAATGGGCGAATCTCAGCGTAACATTAATGTGGCAAACTAGCTCTTCTTAATTTCAACTTAGAATGAAGAATCCCATTGTTGGTAGTAATCAAAATTATCTACTTTCACTATTGCTCCAATAGTAGACTCCTCTCAAGCCCCATCTTGCAGGGGCCTCTATGAGAATGGACTGGGAGTCCATTCCATCTTTGGACAGTTTGTTGGAGTTATTCTTCATCTGAGGCTAATATATGTCTCCCAATATTTTCCATTATCTTAGAAAAAGTCTAATCCCTCTTGAACATATTTCTTCACATATTTAAAGACAGTGATAGTGAGTTCCCTTACTTTCCTGGTCAGAGAATCAAAAAATATTAGTGATCACGCAATCCAATATCCTCATTTTACTAATGACCAAAAGAAAATTCCAACTTTTCAAGGCTAAACCTAAGCAACTCTACAAATTATACATTCAGTTCTATAACAAAAAACACAAGAACTGATTCTTTATCCAACTAGAAAATGGTCTTTACTCATTTTAAGACAATTCTCCAAGAGGATATCAAGTATTTTAATTTTCTTGAGCTACTGCATTTTCAAAAATTATAAATTATGTTAACCCCATCTCTTAGGAATAATACATCTTACAGCTTCTGCTTTTCATAATCTGTCAGTACATACAACCATGCTAGAGGGAAAAGTACAGCTGGAGTCCAACACCTGAATATGTATATACCCAATACCTGTGTGTACTGGGTGTCTTATCTCTTTTAAAGTTTAAGTGAAATGTGTGAAAGTACTTTGTAAATTGTTAAGTGCTATAAAAGCATTATGTAATGTTAAAATATTAATACATTATCACAAATATAAGATATCACTCAAGCTAGTGACTCATAATTGTGAGTCATTATACCTTTTATCCAAAAGTGTGTACTAAAAATACAAAACTCTATAGAGGGTATGAAAAGCCTTCAAATTATTATAAAAGGCAAGTAAAGCTCAAAACTTCTACGCCTTCCACAGAACCTCAGTACCTATTAGGAGCCTTTCCCTTTGGTCTACTTCATTAGTCTGAAATTTGCAATTATCCAAATGCTTAAAAATGACTCCACTAAAGACAAGAACAATAAATAAAAGGCAAAGTCTTCCATTTAAAAAAATGACGAAGAAGGCAGAAACTAGAAGCTATAGACTGGATCATATGTACTGACCAATTAATCATCATACAAATTCTCTGAGGTAGGTAATACACTCATTTATTCTCAAGAAAACTGTTATACATACTGTATACATATACAGTAAGTGATGGAATCTGGTTTCAAACTCAGGCAGGGTAGTTCTAGAATCCATGCTATGCTATGAAAATATTTGTGAAGCAATAAAGCAACAGAATTAATATGGAAAGCAAAGATAAAACTTACATAAAATCATATAATACTAGAAACACCAATTTTATGATATGTTCATTTATATTTAGAATATTTTAAAAGTACAAAGGAATATTTAGAATCAATTGTGCCCAAGTTAGAATTTACAAAATTAGGGTTTTACTCTGATCATATAATTCACCTTATATCTCCTACTATGCCAAACAATGTATGGCACAGTAGGGAAGCAAAAAATTGTAAACAGATAAATGAATAAAAATGGCAAATGCATGTTGTGATCCAACGAGGAAAATGAAATAGAGAGACACCAGTTTGTTGCTTGATACTCAGCATAAATGAAAGGCTACGTTGATGACCATACTGATATATGGGGGACATACATATTTAAGGAAAACTGTCAAAACTCTGCTTCACAGTTTGAGTATAGCTCTAAAAGAGTAAATAAAGGGGAGGAAAGAATGTTTGACACCAACTTTCAATTTTTTAAAGCACTAAATGTATGAGGAATCAGACTTCCTCTGGCTTCAGAAGTTACGATGATTTCTAGAAGCATGAAGTTTTTCATAAATGGATGGCATACACCAAATCTTTCAGATAGAGCATTTCTAGGTAGGCTCTGCCAAATGAAAGTCATTGCTATATAAGTCTAAAACAGTAGAAAGATAGAGCTGGAGTTGCCTAACTCTGCAGTTTATTTCAATTATGAGAATTATTAGAAATCCACCATCAACCTCAACATTTAAGATAATTAGCAAGACTAAAAGAATGAATGTACTTTTTAATAGTTTGCTAATATTATCAACCTAAGAAGGAGAAATCATAAAATTTGTGGGAAACCTACATCAATTCACAAGGAGAAAATCTTCACCTCCTACTTGGAAAAGATCTTTAGAAACTGAATAGGCAGGGAAGATTGGATCAAGATTAAACCAAGTACCTGAGACACCTCAGGGAACAAAATAGCTTAGATGAAACACCCTACACCATGAAGGATTAGGTTAAGGATAGAGTAAATAAAGTGACCCCAGAGCATGGCAAGAGACTACAGTCATGTTCAGAAACATGAAAAAAATAAACAAAGAGATGGCAAAGAACTCAGAAGGTACACAGCATTTGTTGACCTGAGTCAACTAAATGAAATCAGAAAGATGAAGGGTAAGAGAATACATATTTACTTTAACAACTGAACTTAAACATTATCATGAATGTCAATCAGTACTCATCCAAAGGCAGGCATCCTTATGTGGGTGGGATATGGAGTGGAAAGATGAATGTTCACCGAGGCACTGGTGAAAGTCAAGCTTGACTGCAAAGCATAGGGGTATGCTTGCAATCTTCTTGGGGGAGAAAAAGCTAATGGTTGTGTGAACCAAGAGAAAAGCACTTTCAAGACTGAAGAAGTGTAAGGAAAAAAAATGGACTATCCTTGTCACTGGAAGAAGAGATGGAAGATTGACTACACTTACAACAGAATGGAGACCCATAGATGGTAGGCGTAAGAAGGGTCGCCAGCGACGAAGACGGAGAGATGGACTGGTAGCCTTTGCAGGGCCTACATGGTTACGTTTGACCCAGGGCAGGGATGCATGGTGACACAATGATGAGGCCTTCGTTCTGCAGTGGCTAGAATGAGGCTGGGATGAGGATGGCGAGGAGGACTACATAATTAAAAAAGAGAACATTATACTTAGACCACGTTACTGGGCGATCATTTATTCTTAAAAGCAACGTATGGTCATATCTGTATTTATATGGTCTAGTACTTTTAATTAACCATAATCTAGAAAAGGATTATATATAAATATTGGTTAGAACTGGATAAAGTGGAAATATATAACCAAGGTATCAGGTTATATTCCATAGCTTCTTTAAGTACCCATCTAAAATGTTTATCCTCATTTGCATAGCACAGACTCATGGAATTATTTAAAAGCCACTAAAATGGAGTTATTACATCAAATAGTTTAAAAAACAGGCACACACACAAAAAACACACAATATGTAACACACACAGAACAAAAAATAATGTGTAGAAGAAAACTGAATGGTGACAGAGGCACTGGTGAAAAGAATTTCTTGCCGGAAATAAGCTCTAAGGAGGGGAAAAAAACTTCAAAATATAAAGAGGAGTGAAATTAACCCCTCTGAAGCTGATGGCCTGCATAAACTAT